TGTACGAGGCCTGCTGTAAAAAAGGGTTTACGGCTTAGGGCCTCGAGGGTTTAGGGCTTGTAAGGGTTTAGGGTTTACGGCTTAGGGCCTCTAGGGTTTAAGGAAAAGGGTTGGCATCGTATTGGTCCATTGGGGCGCAGGGTTCACCGAATTGTTTATCATCCACCTGTGTGTATGTTTCCATGCCTACTGTCATGCTCCAACGGCCATCGGCGGTGTCATCAGTACAAGGGCAGGTGGGCCACTTGTTTATGCATACCTCAAATGCCCCAAAACCGTGAAGCTCTAAAGCGGGTGAGCATGTTTGCAACTGCTTGTAGCCACAAACCCTACAAAATGGTAGGTTGCACATTAGGGTTTTTAAGTTTGGGGGCTTAGTGGTTTTCTGGATCTAGTGTGAAGATTTTAGGGTTTAGGGTAACCCACAAACTATGTGTGATTGGATCTGCAGGTGGAGTTCCTGAAACCGGAGGCGCCAATGCCGGAGAAGACGCTGGAGGAGGCGGCGGCGCAGTTCATCACGGCCGAGGTTCCCAATGTCGAGGCCGTCTTGAAGGCGGCCAGGGGATCTTGTGATTCAGAGTGTAGGGAAGAGGGGTTGATGCTATGTCCCCGAGCCTCCTCCATCAGGATAGAGCTGTGTTTCGACAACCTCCATATACCTATCCGAAACTTATCAGGCTCAAAACAAATCGAGAATGCCAGCCCTTGACTCTTAGAGATGAGTCGCCAGAGCCCCAAACTCGAATGAGCGATCCGGAGCGAGGTGGAGTTTTGTCAATAGTGTGAATGATCTCGTGCCCTCACTAGGGCGACATTACACCAGGGCGGCCCATCCCTGTAAACATTGCAGTACACCTGTTTTGTCAGACCGAAAGAGCCCTTCAGCCCAAGAAGCCCCCTAAACCCTAAGCCCTAAATCCTAAGCCCTAAGCCCTAAGCGCTAAGTCCCAAACCCTAACCCTAAGCCCCTAAGCCCTAAACCCTATAAGCCCTGAACCCTAGGCCCTAAACCCAGGCAAAAAAAACCCTAAGTCTTAAACCCTAAGTCCTAAACCCGAAGTCGAAACTCTAAGCCCTAAACCCTAAACCTTCTTGGATCATGCCGAAGAGGCGGCCCGGGACATCTTAGCCGAGCAGTTCGCGCACCGTGGAGACGTGCGACAGCTCGCCCGCAGCGTGCTCGAGAACAAGGTGGACTCCAAGGGTTTAGTGGTTCGAGTTGAGGGTTAAAGGTGGTTTAGGGTTTAGGGTTTGTTCCGAGTTGAGGGTTCGGGGGTTTAGGATTAGGGTTTAGTTTCAGGGTTTAGGGTTTTTGGGTTTAGGGTTTGTG